CTCTCTCTCTTCAAAATAAGTAAACATTTTTTTTTTTTTTAAAGAATCAAACACCTAGAAAATAAGACTGCAGAATTGGAGCAATGCAACAAGAGCAAATGACGTGGTTGAGGGAAGTCTTACTGGAGTCAAAAGCCTGAGAAAAATGAATGCATGCATTGGCCAAGAAGCAGTCAAGTATTAAAGGTAGGGTACATAATTAATCTTTTATGTTGGGATGTTTTATAGAAAGACTGCTTGTATGTTTGTTTGTTTGTTTGTTTGTTTGTTTTTGAACAATATACCCTTCAGTTAGTTAGTAGGATTTAAAGTGCAAATAGCCCAAATAAAACTTTTCTTTAAGCATTCTATCTAAAGTTTTGAAGGTGGTGGAAATTTTTCTTTATACATTTAAATTGCAGTAGATAAACCTTTTCTTTTGCTTAACATTATTTTTTTCTTTTTCTTTCTTTTTTTTTTTTTTTTACCCTTGCTGATAGGAAAATATGTCAGGACTAAAACACATTCACATACACACTGAAAACCACTTAAGCAGGATGCACAATTTTTCCTCAACCCATGTGGCCTTGAAAATGAGTATGTGAAGGAAGAAACTGGTCTATATAAAAGTGTCTCTGATTCTTGGGTGGCTTATGGTTAGTGTTATTGTTTTTAAAAACCACTCTTGGCTTCTGTGGTGCATTGACCTGTGTATGGAATCTCAAAGTAAATGTTTTCCACTCTGTGGGACACTGGGTCAAAGACGAAAGGTTTTGCTCCCTTTCCAGTAACAATTTTTTCCCCTCCTTATTCACATGATGATTTAACATACTTCTCTTATTTGAGGCAATTCTTCTTTCTTAGAATAAGCATGCCATAATTTGGAAAGCCAACTTCTAAGGCCTGAATTTCATTGTAGAGCAGGGTGAGGCAATCCTCTATTTGATCTAATTTTAAGGCTGTAGAGGGCTTGCTTTCCACTACAAGGAGCTGTTGTTCCCGGCATTAGCTTTGAACATTTTGGATAGACCAGGCTTGTGTAGAATGTTGTGACTACTGTGGTCTCTGATTTAAGCCGTGATGAGCTTGCACACAGATTATTATATCTAGAAAAGCCATGAAGGGATGGACGGTGGATGCGTACATTTTTATAGGGGAAAGAGCAAGGCTAAATGAAGAGTGCATTATCCAGTTGGATGAGTAAAAAATAGGGAGACGATATTTCCTGGAGGCAGCGGGGTGGGTGCCCTGTGAGAGTGAGGAAAGACAGATGTGAAAGACGAGGTCTCCCCAAACAAACTGCGCACATGACCACTTTGTGCTGTTCTCTGACTAGATCGAGACCCTGTCTGGGGCACATACAGCGAGGCTGTGTCTGACCTGTCAAGACATCTGGCCTATGAGAGAGCTACTTCAGGGACTCCGAGGGTTCAGATGTGGCATAGGGCTACATCACGCAAGGTTGGAGTAACCTAAATAGTTCAAGACCTTCATATTCCCACAAAAGGAAATCTAGAACACCCTTTAGAATTTCAGGAGGACTGGATCTTCGAAGTGTGAACCCTTTAGATACAGCCTGGACTATGGTACACTAAGACAGATATCAGACTTTTGCCACATTGTCTTCCTGATGGAGTATGGTAGAGCTAGGGGATAGTCCTGAACTTATGGTTTCATATGCCCTTTGCCTTGCATGGCCAGCTTTCCCCCTTTCCAAACACTTGTCACATGTGCCTCCATGAAGGTCCCCCACCTCTCCTTACCTCTGCCCTCATTTCTTGCTCTACCTCCTTCTATTTCTGAGCAAAGTAACTGGAGGGAAAAATCTCTTCCTCCACCAGTCTTAGGTTCTCCAGTGGGGTCCTTGTAAATTAGACTGGCCAAAGGAAGGGGCGCCTGGGTGGCTCAGTCAGTTGTGCGTCCGACTTCAGCTCAGGTCATGATCATGAGGTTCCTGTGTTTAAGCCCTGCATCAGGCTCTGTGCTGACAGCTCAGAGCCTGGAGCCTCCTTCAGATTCTGTGTCTCCCTCTCGCTCTGCCCCTCCCCTGCTCATCTCTCTCTCTTTCTCTGTCTCTCTCTCTTTCAAAAGTAAATAAACATTAAAAAAATTTAAACTGGCCAAAGACAGATTAACAAGAGAAAAATAAACACAAGTTTGTTAATATGTGTATGTTCATACACTTGGGAGTACCTAGCGATGAGTAACTCAAAGGGGTGGTTAGATTTAGTCCTATATATCATTTTAGGCTAAAAGAAAAGGGGTTTGGGGCTTCTGGCATAGGGAGGCAAGTTTTGAGAACATTTCCAGGGAAAGTATCATAAACAAGGATTTTTAAAACAAGGTTCGGGATGTAGATTTAAGTCAGTGCCTTCTTCATTGATACGAGTTATTAAAAGTCTACCTCTTGAAATAGAAATCAAAACCTCAATGAGATACCACCTCACACCTGTCAGAATGGCTAAAATTAACAACTCAGGAAACAACAGATGTTGGTGAGGATGAAGAGAAAGAGGAGCATTTTTGCACTGCTGGTAGGAATGCAAACTGGTGCAGCCACTCTGGAAAACAGTAGGAAGGTTTCTCAAAAAATTAAAAATAGAGCTGCCCTACCACCCAGCAATTGCACTACTAGGTTTTTACCCAAAGGATACAAAATTGCTGATTCCAAGGGGCACATGCACCCCAATGTTTATAGCAGCACTATCAACAATAGCCAAATTATGGATAGAGCCCAAATGTCCATCGACTGACAAATGGATAAAGAAGATGTGGTAGAGATACATAATGGAATATTATTCAGCGATCAAAAAGAATGAAATCTTGCCATTTGCAACAGCGTGGATGGAACTAAACTGCATTAGGTCAGTCAGAGAAAGACAAATATTATATGATTTCACTCATATGAGGAATTTAAGAAACACAACAGATGAACACAGGGGAAGGGAAGGAAAAATAAGATAAAAACAGAGAGGGAGACAAACCATAAGAGACTCTTAAAGACAGAAAAGAAATTGAGGATTGCTGGTGGGGTGTTGGGTGGGAAGATGGGCTAAATGGGTGATGGGCATCAAGGAGGGCACTTGTTGGGATAAACACTGGGTGTTAACGTGTAAGTGAAGAATCACTAAATTCTACTCCTGAAGCCATTCATTATTACACTATATGTTAACTAACTTGGATTTAAATAATAATTTTAAAAAAGGATATGAACCTAATTAAATAGTAGCATGAAAAAAAGTCTATCTCTTTCAGGTGCTGGAGAGAGACACCTTTACAAAAGGAAATCTCCTTTACCTAGGGAGAACGTGTGCCCTATTTTTAGAGCTTTTCCAGCCTCTGCTGGTTCTCAATGCCCTTTAGCTTAAAATAACCCATATGCCGAAGAGGCATATTATCGTGTGGTGTATTCTGGTACCCCCCACATGAGCTTGAGCTTTCTGCCTATGGGAATTAGGATTAAGTAATATTCATGGGTTAGCCAAGACTACCTTGATCTTTCGCTCTGAAGGCTTTTTGGTGTCCCTGACTAGGACCCAGATTTTCCTTTCTTATCAGGTAGCACTCTGATTTACCCAGGCTTTCATGCTACTTATGTATGAGACTTCCTATAGCTCATCCGTATTTCCACTCCATTAGGGATTTCTACTGACTTTACCTCTTGAATCCATTCTTTCTTCTGTCTTCACAATGGCCATGAGATCAGGACATCGACATCTTTTACCTACATTGTAGAATACTCTGTATGTCTGCCAACTTCCACTCTTACTTTTCCACAATTTATTTCTCACCTAGTCAAGAATGACCTTCCTAAAAATGATTGAGGTTCATATCATTCCTTAGATTAAAGGTTTTTAATGTCTTCCTGTTGAGTTGAACATAAAATCAGCTTTTTAAAAATGTTTTTATTTTTGAGAGAGAGAAAGAGATAGAGAGAGGGAGAGAGAGAACAAGTGGAGGAGGAGCAAAAAGAGAGAGGGAGATAGAGGATCTAAAGTGAGCTCTGTGCTGACAGCCAAGAGCCCGATGTGGGGCTCAATTCACAAACCATGAGATCATGACCTGAGTCGAAGTCGGACGCTTAACTGACTGAGCCATCCAGGTGCCCCTAAAATAAAATCAGCTTTAAAACAAAACAAAACAAAACAAAACAGAATTTAAAAATACAATACAATACAATAAAACAAAACCAACTTCTTACCCAGTTCTACAAGGCCTGGTGTAACCTGGCCCAGCCTCTGTTTCCAGAACTTCGTTTTAACATTCTCTCTCATGCTCACTGTTCACTATGCTCCAGGTATAGCCATCTTCTTTCAGCTCCTTGGTCACATGAGGCTCTTCTGCATCTTGGGACATGTGCCAGAAATGACCTTTTCAATATTTCTTCCATGCCCAGATCTTTTTACTTATCAAGCTTTTGACTTTAGTGCTATCCCAGCTCTCAGGGTTTTTGTTTGTTTGTTTGTTTGTTTATGGTACTTGTCACAACATGCAATTAACTTATTCTTCTATTTATATATTTGTTCTGTCCCCTGTACCTGTATGCTCTTTTTGAGATGATAGTCTTGCCATTCTTTTTCACTAGTCTGTATTGAGATTGTAGGACAGTTCCTGACACAGAGTAGCTTCTCAACAAATATTTGATATGCAAACAGCCAAGGGCAAGTCCTGTTCCTAATACTTCTGATAAGGCCTGTATCACTGCTGACTAAGGGTTGTTCCTCAAAACATGGCTCTGGTTTTAGGGACTATCCCACCTTACATTAAATTTGCTCCTGAATGAATTGGGGTTAGGCCTTTCAGAAAGTAATAGGTTTTTAGCCATTTCTGTCTAGATAAACTGTGAAACTAAATTTTTGCCCTGAACCTAAGAAATTATCATTGTCAGAAAACTTAGGTTTCAAAATGTACTAGTCAGTTAAGCCAAAACTATGAATACAGATTTTATAGCATTTCCCCCAAGCAAATCATGCACGCCATAAACCTTCTGAGATTTTACTTAAAAAATTGCTTTCCTAGCCATGCACATCTTTCTGTTTCCCACCTCCTCACATCTCTTATCTATCTCGGAGAGCTAATTGCAAAAAGTTCACAGATGTAATTGCATTGAAACATCAGAATAAGCTATTCTTTTGAAGTAAAACTGAATAGCTATAGTTATTAGTTCCAAAGTATATCTGACCCAATGGCATTCAATAGCATATATC